ATTTTCTATCTGATGTTCAGAATTACCTTGGATTTTCTGCTAGAAGTAGCAAAATGGGCTAGCATTGATTTCATTAAGCAGCTACTATGTGCCAAGCACTATGCTAAGCACTTCATCTAGGATTAGTCATCACAGCAACTTCCAAACCAGTCCTCTTTGACTAAAAAAATAAAATCACATCTATATGTTTCCCAGCTTATTTGCCATTTCCTTTCATTACAAATGTAGACCACAAGCCACCAGTAGTAATTGTGACTTTGTCACCTATATACGTATATCACACTGCAGTTGTTGAAGAGACCTCAAAATATCATTGACTTTCATCACTGCTTCAAGAGTACCATGATCATTAGGCATAATGCAAAATCTTATTTAATGTGTTACTAAAACGCATATGCTACTGCATCACACATTTAAAAAATGTTTTGGTAACTGAACTGCAAGATAATTAATTTCCTTTGTAATTCTATGTGCTTTATTTTATGCATGTAAAAATGTTATTCTAAGAAGGGATCCTGTAGGTTTCACCAGACAGACAAAAGGGTCTTTGGCACAAAAGGAATTTAGACCTCCCATAACCAACCCCTCTTGCTATCATTCTTAATATTGCCAATCCACTCTCCATACAGAAAACCAGGGTGATCTTTTAAAAGGTAAATACAATCAAGACATAGCCTTGTTTAAACATGAAACAAATGCAAACTCATAAATTTGACGAGGTTGCAGGATCTGATTTTACCCTGTTCCCATCTCCTTCTATCATTTTAATCTCCTCTGTCCTCTATCTCCTCTGTCCTCACCTTCTCCCTGCTCCATGCTGGCCTCCTTTCTTTTCTTTAAAATCTTTAAGCCATTTCCCACCTTACGGTCTCTTGCCTTCTGCCTAGAATGCCTGCTCTTGGAGCAGCCACTTTGCTCTCATGCTCTAGTAATGAGCAAGGACATTGCTCTCACAGAGAAGCCTTCCTACCAACCTACCCCAAACAGCAGTCTTCCCCTTTCTCACGTGTCTTCAATTCATTATTCAGAGCACTCATTACAATTGAAGTACACTGTTCTTTTTTTGTTGTTCATAAGTGAATCCCAGCATCTAGTAAGGTACTTAGCACAACATGGAAGTCTGATATTCACTGATTGAATGAACAAAAGGCAGAATAAGTCAACGAGGAAATGCGTATTAATCCATTTACAAGTAAGGAAATTGAGGCTCGATGGCGTTCAATGATTTGTCCAAGATCACTCTGTGACAAAGTTATTTTAACTGAGATATTAGGCCCCCACAATCCCTCCACCACTCACTGCTACATTTCCACCAATCAGTGGAAAGCAGTTTGACCCAGTATATGTTTTTATAACATGATTTCTTGGGACTTTGGTGCCCCATTGCTTAAGGATATCTGCCTAAGAAATCCTTGAGAGCCAAGTGCGGTGGCTCATGCCTGTAATCCCAGCCAGCACTTTGGAAGGCGAAGGCAAGAAGATTGTCTGAGCTCGGGGCTTTAGACCACCATGGGCAACATGTGGGACCTTGCCTCTACAAAAAATCAGCCGGGTTTGGTGGCTCATGCCTGTGGTTCCAGCTACTTGGAAGGCTGTGGTGGAAGGATCGCCTGAGCCCAGCAGGTCGAGGCTGCAGTGGCCAGGTGACAAGAGTGAGACTTCGACTCAAAAAAAAAAGAAAAGAAAAGATATCCTTGGGGTTATTCTTTTTGAGCATTTCCAGGAAGTTAAATTAACATTACCTGGATAGAGTAATTTTCTCTCTCTCTCTCTCTCTCTCTTTCTCTCTCTCTCTGTAAATCTATATCTATATCTAATGTATAGCTATATCCATGTCTATATATCTGTATCTCTCTACATCCACATTTTTTAAATCTCTGAATCTTATAAACATAAATACAGACAATAAGATCAAATGGAAGGAAAAAAATCCAGAAAAGGGTAAACTAAGGAAGGAACAAATTAGATAAACCCAGGGTTAAATGCTGGTATATAAAAGTACATGTGACAAGGCACTGTATGCTAGCTTATGTGGACCACAACTCTAGCCATACACTTCCCAGTAGCCAACACAAAGTGAGAAACACAATCAGTTACATGACACATTTTGAAGATTGAAAGATTATAAAATTCAGCCATTTGCTAGGAGTACAACTATTTCTGTTTCTACATCCTGAGATAAATTTCTCTTGTGGGTCCTTATAATGAAAGCACGGTAGTCAGCATTCTAAACTACAGCCTCATAAATAAACATATGAAGCATCGTAGAATGGTGTGTTATAGCACGCCTTAATAGAGGTGGTTAGTATAATGCCATAATCGATGAAGCCTCCTACTGCCTTGCTGTTCAAAGCATGAACTGTAGACCAGCAACATCAGCATCGTCTAGGAGCTCGTCAGAAATGCAGAATCTCAGGCCCCATCCGGAGACTGAATCAGACTCTATTTTATTGACAAGATTTGCAGGTGGTTCCCATGCACATTGATATTTAAGAAGCATTGATCTATTGGTTGAACTTAATTTGAGGAAAAAAATGACATGAAACTACAATTTCTTCATTCGTTCACTTAACAAGTATTTACTGTGACTTTGGGACAGCCTTAAAATTGAGTGATAAAGCAAGCCATGGAGTAGACGATATTTGCCAGGCACCCCCTGGATGCTGGAGATACAGAAATGAAACAAAATATCTCTATCCTTATGGGGCTTATATTCTAATTGCTGAAGATATAAAGAAACAATTTAAGTAAAATAAATCAGGAAAGGAGGATACGTTGGGGATGGGGTTGTAATTTTAAGTAGGTTAGACAGGGAAGGCCTCATTAAGGAGGTAAAGACCTGCACAAGGTCAGGGAGCTAGCTATTTAAAAAAAAAAAAAGTGTTCCGAGCAGAGAGAACATTACGTACAAACACCCTGAGATAGAAGAGTGCCTAAAACAGCAAGACGGCCAGTGTGGTTGAAGAAAAGAGCAACAGTGGACCAGGTGTACAGGAGCCTATATCATGTGAAGCCTTGTCAGCTATTTTCAGTATTATAGCTTTAATTGTGAGATGAGAAGCCACCGGAGAAAAAAGCAGCAGGGAGCCATTGCAGGATGCTGAGCAGAAAAATGACATAATGAAAAGTATCTTATAAAAGATTGGTTTCTTAGAACGTCTTGGGTGGGAGAATCTAGCTCAGAGTACACTGCACCAATCCCAGTAGATGGTGATTTATTCATTCAGCTATTTATTAGGTGGCAGAGATGTGCCAAGTCATGTGGGGAGGATCTAAATTAGAGTGATAACTGAGGGAGCTGCCAGAGGAACGTGAATATAAATGAAACTGGAGGGAAAGGAACTCGGGACATAACGACAGATTATTGATAGAGAAATAAGACAAATTCCCAATTCAATTAAACCAAGGTTTATGAACCGTCTACTGTGGACAAAGCTATGTGCTGGCTAAAACTTAGGGGTGGGTATGATGCATAAGACTCGTACTTTCCTTTTAAAGGGCTTCCAGCCCGGTATACCTTAGCCCCTGCCCTACACCTTTCAAGTCTGAATGTCTTAGACTGATTTGCTCAGGTTAAGAGCTGGGTTGTTGTTTTTGTTTTACCCTTGAAACTTGTTCCATCTGGAAGCAGGGGCCAAAGCACCTCAACTTGATTAGTACAAAAAACCAGATCTGGTTTGGCAGGAGGGCAGAAGAGAGGTCTTAATAAATGTCTTTGTGAATCAGTGTTGCAAGCTGGCCCTAAACCATCAGTTTGGAGCAGAGTCCTTCTGGTCTGCTTCCACCTGTGTGACTTAGTGGCTCTCCCACCTCTGCCATTCTGTTCTGGAGAAAAGGTTCCAAGGCACAGAAAGAGGAAGAGCTAAGCTTAAGGAAAACAACTGGAAAAAAATGAATTAGTAGTTGTCTACACCAGACTGCATGATCTGGGAAGCAGATGTAAATGCAATGCAAATAATATGCAAATATATCTGTGGCCTTCTAAAAGGTTTTATACAACTGGAATGGCCCTAGGGAAAATGCTAGCAGATAACAGCGACTCAGAAGCAGAGTGAACTATTTCAAGACAACTTTGTCACACAGACCTTTGCTGCCCAGCTAGCACAGTGCACATTCTTTACTAATCTTTTTTTCTCACTTGAATCAACCTACCTGCTATAAATCAAAAAAAATGTCAAGTCTGCCTCTGTAGAGGTTATCTAGGTTAATTACTCTTTTAAACTCTTTCTATACCTTTAATTTTTCTTCAAATGCCTTTCTCGCCCAAATAAAACTAAGTTAAATGTGTCACTTCCTCTGTAGAACAATATTTGGCTCCAGCGAATTATGAATGAAAGTGCCTCTCTTTCAGTTCTTCTTACTATGATCCTTCAGAGTTTTTTTTTTCCCTACTCCACAGGAACTGGTTCATTCTCTTCTAATATTCACATACTGTATTCAAAGTGAATTCAGAAATATAGAGAGAGATAGCTGTGAAAAACAATTCACTTCAAGGAGCCACTGAATAGCTAATTATCAAGAAAAGCTGGCCTGTCAAGAAAGCTGTGGTCTTGACCATCCTAAGGACACATTTTAAAAATAAAAATTCACATCCGGTCACAACGGGGTATATTTCCGACTACATTAATGTATTTCAAAGGGGGACATTCCTGTTAGATAGGCACTTAATAACAGCCATGGGATTAGCTGAATAGCAAGTAAGACAGCACATCAGCTGGTGGTTATTCTAGGTTGCAGACCCTGGGCTCTAGAAGCAACTTACCTCCACATCAGTCCCCCAAAGTTCCATTACTTTTCTAGTATTCTAACATTCCAGGGCGCCTCAGCTTTTGACAGCAGGGTGAAAGGAAAGGAAATCCCTTTAATTTCTGGGGTTTTTAATCTCACTTGAAAGGGCCACGCTGTCAGCCCCCAGAAGGGTACCGGGCAAAGTCACCTGGGGTGAGGCCACGTTCAAAGTAAAACACGAACAAAGCGTAAAGACGCCGGATCCCAACAAATTAGAGACTGAAAAGGAGAGGAAAGAAGGCGGACAAAAGCAGGAGATGAACCTCAAGACCCAGAATTAAACGACAGCGCCAGACAAAGGGTAACAAAGGATGAGGAACAAGCAGGGGCGCTATTGCCGGAGCCAGGGAGTCCGAGCAAGGGCGGTCGGGCACGGCCGGGCAGGCGGCGAGCGCCCTCTCGCGGCCGGGGCTGCCTCTTACCTCCTGGGCGAGTTTCTGCTTGAGCACCAGCGCGGCACACAGGTAGCCCGCGCGGCCCACGAACAGCTCGTCGGAGCCGCACTCCAGGAAGGAGACCGGCGCGCACACCGAGCACAGAGCCCGGAACTTGCCCAGCGGCTGCACGTAGTCGGACCGGCCCAGGGCGTAGTACACGAGCGTGGCCACAGCGTACACGCCCGCGCCCCCGAGCAGGAAGGCGGCGCGGGTGTCGGCGTCCGGCTCGCCCCACTCCTCGACGCGGGCGCACGCGTCGATGAGGCGCTTGGCCGAGCGCAGGTAGCGCTCCCGGGCGGCGGCGAAGAGCGGGCTCTGCGAGACGTGGTAGAGCATGTAGGCCACCCCGGCCACGCCGCCGTACAGACCCCCCTGGCAGCAGCTGGCTCCGGCCGTCGCCCCCCGCGCCTCAGCGCCGCCCCCGAGTGGGGGCAGCTCCTGGAGGATGCGCTCGATGGTGGCGGTGACCAAGGGCGCCACCGCCTCTTCGCACTGGCCCGCCGGCAGGCTGCCCTGGTAGTCATCGAAGCGGTTGGCGAAGCAGCGCTTGGTGTCCATGCTGCTGCCCGTGCCCCCTAAAGCCGAGCTGGGGACCGCTTGAGGTCGCGCCCTGCAGCCCCGTGCACCCCCTCCGACTCTGAGGCACTCGGAGGGTGGGGTATGCGGCGGGGATGGAGAGAGAAGGGTGAGACGGGAGGTGACAAGAGGAGGCGGGCGAGAGGTGCAGCACGGAGCGGATGGCCAAGTGGGGCACCGTGCGGCCGCGAGGCTCCGGAGTGGCCCCGGGCGAGGGCGGGGGATGCGCGGCGTGCGCCCCCCTCTCAGAGGCCGCGCCCTCACCGAACCCGCCCCCTCCTGCGCCGCCGCAGCTTGGCAGCCTCTCCCAGGGGCCGAGGTGATCTCTGGCAGGACCCACGCGGGGCCCGCGCCACTCCTCCCGCTCCGCCCTCGGCTCCTCCCCTCCCGGCGGAAGGCTGGGGACGTGGGGGACACTGATCCGGAACGCTGAGGCTCAGCACACACACACCTGGTGGTGGAGGTCACGAACCCGAGTCCCTCGTATATTCAAAGTGTGGTCCTTGGGTGGGAGTATCAGCATCACCTGGGAGGATATTCAAAACGCAACATCTCAGGTTTCACCCCAGACCGATAAAATCAAAATCTGAGTATTGAGCAAGATCTCCAGGCGATTCGCATGCACATTCAAGTTTGAAAAGCCACCGGACTAGGCTAGAGTATCAGGCAAAAAGCTGGGCGCCCTCTTCGAAGCGTGCTTTTCCTCTTGGTTACTTTGGAGTGCTCATTCTGAATGTTTCGATCAAAACACCTGAGTTGGGGGCGGGGGGAAGGAACGTTGAGGACATCACGTTTCATGCATTAAAACGGTGAAATGCCCCATACAAAAACTTTTTCTTGACGTTGGTTGTCATGCTGTTTTTCCTGGAGTATATAGGAGTAAAAACAAACACCAGGATAAGGCAAGGGAGGAGGACTCCCTCCCCGCCGTGAGTGCATAGCAAAAACTAAGTAAATATCTTTAGATCATTAACTAGTTAATGTAAGAATAAACTGTGTGAGGTGTTAATTAGGCTTTTGATCTCCTTCCTGGGTGTCCCTTGTTTCCTCCTCCCCTCCCTTCCTTCCCATGTTTTTTCCCTTCTGCTTTTCCCCCATAGTTTTATTGAGGGTCTCCTATGTGTCCTGGAACCTGGAAATACATGAATGACTAACACAGTCATGGTCCTAAACCTCTTGGAGCTTGCAGGTCGGTGGAAAAGACAGAAAATAAGCAATTACACAAGCTAGCTGCCTTTTTTGTGCTCAGCCATTTAAAAACATTGTTGCCTTTCCCAAGGTGTTGACGTTGCAAGGCTAAAGAGGGCGCTTTCCTCGGGGGTTGTTGCATTTTGATAGAGATGCAAGACCCATAAGAATAAGGGTCTCGGAACAGTTTCTGATACTTTGTGGGGAGGGCAACCACTCACTTACTTGGAAAGCCAGTTTTGTTTGAAGGCATTTTTTTTTCCCCTCAAAAGTATTCATCATCACTATGATTGGGAAGCAGAGATTAAAAAGCCTGCCCCTCTGACCTTGCATGATGTAGACTGGGAAAGAACATCAGTTTTTCCAAGATTATTGCCAGGACTGACATAGCCATATAGTTCAAGGACAGTATGGCCATCATCCTTCTATAATGCGCCCAAACAGGTTTATTTGTAACAATAACAATAATAAAGCTAAGTCCACTTTTAGGAAGGGAGTTGGATGTGTTAAAGGAATCAAAGGAAGCAACAGGAACGTCTAGTTTCTCCTCGAGGGTCCTTCCTCATTCCTCAATTGTAATAGGTATTAGAAGTGATTTTTGTGACCACAAACAGGGAGACATAAAATACAAGCTTTCATAGGCAGACATGAGGCCTTATTCCATTGTATTTCTCTATACCTCACCTTTGTGAATCCAGAGGCAACTCTTAGTTCTGATTCTGATTTTACCTTCTGTACACCCCAGCCCAGAATTAGCACCGGCAGCAATGCAGGGACCTGTATGTAAGTGTGTCTCCAAGAAAAGGAGCTGTCTGCTTTTTCCCAGTTGTGTCGTCTATTGCTCCAAAATGCTGTAAATCAGACAACCACAAGATATTGTAGCATATAACAGTAGGTCTATTGTTCATGCATCTGGGATTTTTGTTGTACTCACTTATCTAGAGATGGGTTGAGTCTTGCTGGGGGTGGGGACCGAGGTGACTGGGCTCTGGCCTACGTGTTTATCATCCTTTAGCTGGCCAACCACAGCATGCTTGCATGACAGTGGCAGAAGGGCTAGAGCAAAAGTAGAAACACAAAAAACTTCTTAAGGTCTAGTCTCAGAACCAGCACACTGTCTTCTGCCTTAGTGGCAATCCACATGAGGAAATATAAGGTGTCTTTTTTTTTTTTTTTTTTGAGTTGGAGTCTCACTCTGTTGCTCAGATTGGAGTGCGGTGGCCGCTCCTGGTCACTGCAGCCTCGACCTGCTGGGCTCCAGCAATCCTTCCACCTGAGCCTTCCAAGTAGCTGGAACTACAGGCACGTGCTACCACACCCGGCTAATTTTTGACTTATTGTAGAGATGAGGTCTCGCCAAGTTGCCCAGGCGGGTCTCGAACCCGTGGGCTCAGGCAATCCACTCACCTCAGCTTCCCAAAGCGCGGGATTACAGGCTGAGCCACCGAGCCAGCTAAAGTGTCTTTATGGAACTTCAGAGTTACATGACAAAGGGTGTAAATACAGGACGGAGTGAAGCATTGAGGTTCTTAGATATTTCTTTTGAACTGTGATGCCAACGAGTATAACATGGGTCACAAAATGGATATGAAGCAGCATGATTTGGGAGAATCAAGGAGTTAACAATTTCTAGAAGCCCTTTGAACTCATAAGACTAATTAACCCTTTTACCTATAATACTTTCCCAAGCACCTCATCACTTTGCTGCACAATTAGCTTGCAAAACTCTAGCCAAAACATCCTCCAGGGTGGAGCAAGCTATTTAGACCACATGAAACCTCACCTCCAAATGTGTTACACTTAATTTGCAGACATTGTTATTTATTTTAATATAATTAGTTCACTAGAATACACTTTCCATGAGATTAGGGCTTTTGTTGCATTTATTTACTGATATGAAAGAGTTTAAAAATAATCAGGGATTATTTTACTAGAACATGTAGTAGATACTCACTAAACATTTATGAAATGAAGAATGAATTATCATAGGTGCGCCATTGTTAAGAAAACCTGAAGTAAAAAATACACAGTGAGGATTTTTTCTTTTTTTTGAAACTAACCTTACATGTTTAAACTCCTACTATATTCTTGGATTCTTTTGCTCTTATAACATCAAGAATGTCAGCATTCTGCACTTTATGCCTCCTTACTTTGTTTCTCCACAAGATCTAGTGACCTTTACCTTGAATTCAGTGACTTCACACATTCTACTTTTAATAACTATCCCTGTGTGACAGATTATAGCTTTAAAATAAGGCCACAGCAATATCTCTTATGCCACATGCTCCCTTACAGTCAATGTGACCTTGACATTCCCCTCATCAGGAGATAGGTACACATCACCTCTTGAATCAGTAGGCTTGTGATTCGCTTGTAACCAACAGAATGTGAAGGAAATGTGCTGTCTGACATCAAAGGCTAAATTATAAAAGGTAATGCAGTTTTTATCTTACATGTTGTGGCACTCACACTTGAAGCCTTGTGCTGCCTTATAGAAATTTGACTATCCTAAGGCTGCCATATTGTGAGGAAGCCAAAAAAAAAAAAAAAAAAAAAAAAACAAACACACACACACACACACACACACAAAAAACATGAAGAGGCCACTTGTAAATGCTTCAGTTGACAGCCCAGATGACAGCATCAATAACAGCTATGGATATCCAGCACAGTCAAGCCTTCAGATGACTGTAGTTCCAAATTAGAGCCACCATCCTAAACTCTTCCAGAATTCCCGGCCCACAAAATTATGTGCAAAATAGAATAGTTTTAGGCCTTTACGTTTCAAGGTAATTTGTTATGTAGCAAGGTAATGGAATATCCTACTAGCTTTGCACCATCTAATGCTATGGAAGGCCCCTCTAATCAATAGTGCCTACTCAACAGGGCAATGAGCATTTGAGAAGAGGACTATTTTAGATAAACCTGGAAGACAGAGAAATATGCAGAGTTGTGTTCACAAATAATCATTCTAGTTGGATTCTTTAGAAGTAGTGATGACCCCACAAGAAATGTGCAATCTATACAAAATCTTGCCAAGGCCATTCATTTTACCCTAATCTGCAAGATTTGTACTGATAGTCACAGAATTTCTAGCAGTATTTGCTGACAGGCAGCTCACAACACATGTTTCTGTGATCTTGCTGAATTGCCCTGTTCCCAGTTCTTCCTCAGTATGTCCTTATTATGCAGATTATGCAAAACTATGGATGGAAAAGAGTTTTATTGGGTTCATCAAGGAAACCACATAAAAATTATGCAAAACTATCCAAGAAAAAAGAATATTAAAATCAAAGTGTTCCTTTTATGCAAATCATTGCTGTCTAGGGGTGAACATGAAAAAAGAATCATTAATTGTATAATTGTCAAACCTCACCACTTAAGGATTAATGCATTTTATGAGATAAACCACCTTAAAAATGCTTTCAAAAAGTTTTCCAAGGTTTTGCTCAAAGAGTGCACCCTGGAAATATTTGAGATAACAGAATAATGTTACATTTAGTCCTTATAGCATATTTTCTGTGGAAACTCATCCCTGATTTATTAGATTAACAACCTAATTAAAGACTTCTCCCTGCTTCTGCTCTTTCACTCCCTGTAAGCTCGTCTCAAAGCAGCAGTCAAAATGATATTAGTTAGAGTCTGTGTTCTGTCTTATGTCAATGTGTCACAAGTCCCTCAAAAAAAAATTATATATATATAGACTCCACAGGATGGTCTATAAGCCCCACTACCACCCGGTCCTTATTACTTGTCTGATTGCACCAATTCTTCTCCTTGCTCTTTCAGCTCTGGCTATTCTTGTCACCTTGATATATCTCAAACATACTGTCATAGACTTAACTCAGAGCTGTTGCAGTTTCCTCTCCTTGGAATACTCTTCAGAACATGTCCTCATGATTTGTCCCTTTACCTCCCTCTTGTGAAGTTTTCCCCACCTTATTATTTTAAATTACAACCCCTTTACAAACCATTTGTTTCGAACAACTATGTATTTTACTTATTTATTTTGTTTCTCATCTGTCTCCCTCCTCTAGAATGTAATCCCCAAGAAAACAGGAATTTTTGTCTTTGTTGTTTCCTGCTGTATCGCCAGCATCTA